GGGTCGTTTTTAACCTTTTTATAAGTACTTACATCCGACAATAGTTCTTGTATTTTAGAATTATAATCTGACGTATCCATGACCACCGTGGCGTTTCCCTTATCTGCGCGGAGAATCGTAAGTTCTGGTTTATTGCGTAGGTTCTTTAACGCTATAAATTCGTCTCTGGGAAGATTCGGTTTAGGCACTGAACATAGACGTAACATAGACGAAATGTCTTGCCGTATCGCCTCCAAATCTTCTTTCCGCATATTGTTTTTAAATAAACAGTCCTCGACACTACAGATAATTTCTTCGTACGGTAATCTGCTTGGAGTTATAGCGTAATTTAGTCCTTTGGATAACACCTTTATTGTTGCATCATCCAGTGTTTGTTTTGACAGATTATAGAACGCGATTAATCTATGATCTGTGTTTGTCAATGGTTGCTTTTGGTTCTGGCATTGATTCGGATATTTGACATTTGATTTGGCCGTTAATTTTTGATATTTTTCTATATATTTGTTTTTGCATTCGTTATATTTACTAATTTCGCGTTTATTTAATGTTTCCATGCAAAAATTATAATCAAACGTCGTTAAAACTTTCTTTAATTCACTGGATGATATGTCTATGGATTTATTTATGCCATATAGATCGGAGCGTTTTTGTTGGATTACCGCCCGTAACAACTTTTTACTTGCCTGATTTAAGATCTTAGCGCTTCCTCGAATGTCCTTTTTGGTGGATATTTTGACACGTAGGAATGAGATTATGGTCTCGGCATCTCTTCAAGAAATTTAAGGCTGTTAGATATCTTGCGCGCTTAGTCTTTAGATCTTCTAATCGGCGTATTTTATTTGCAATTACCAGTCCGTACTGGTTTACATAATGATTTCTTATATTTACGCGAACACTACACATTGAAATAATACTAATTTTTACGGAATTTATCGCGTATATTTAACTTTTTTACCCGACGTTTCGAGAGCTTTACAGCACCCATGGTCACGGGAAGGACTGAGATGTTCAACGTCCAGCTGTCATAGTTAACCGCGGTTACCATAGATTAAAATTTAACTTTTGTTCCGATCTACACAGTATGAACTTATGGTATCATGGAGTCTTGCAGTTGTATGCTTGGGTTGGGATTTAATTTAATTTATTATAGGATCCCAAGCAGATGGTAGCACCCAGCCATCTTCTCTATTGAAATTAGGATGTTTTTTGATTTCAATAGCCTCGCGAATCATCCTTGGAAGGAATCGGTGTTCTTTAGCGAGGATTTGTGGTCTATCAAATCTGATGTAGTGACGGGGGCGATCCTGTACATGTTCACAGACTGCGACGGAGTTAGAGGCAAACAATTCCTTAGCTTTTCTAGATGTGTTAGTAATTCGGAATCCTGATAACACCTTGAGCCATACTGTGTATAGAAAAAAAGACCCATACAGATAGATATTTAAACGGTGATTCTCACCACCATCCTTCACAGTTAGCTACCGTGGGTAAATCTTTGTTTCAGAGAGCACGAGGGATCTGTGACAGTAAACACCTGGCTGCCGAGCTCCAACATGTCAAGCAAGTTTTGCATGACAACGAGCTTCGGGTCCCGCGCCTACGTCACAGAGAACGAGTGAAGCCGGCCACAGTCGAGCGTGTACCTGCTGTACTGCCATATGTTAGAGGAGTCACTGACAAGATTGGCTACATCTTGAAGCGCGCTTCCATCAAAACATACTTCAAGCCGCCGAAGAAGATTGGTCAGTTTTTACCATCAGTCAAGTGTAACGTCCCTCTGCAAGATGCAGGAGTGTACAAGCTTGATTGTGAATGTGGTCTCTCCTACATAGGACAAACTAAAAGATCAATTAAAACCCGCGTCAAAGAACATATAGCTGATGTGAAGAATCGACGCTCCGGGAAGTCTGCAGTCTGTGAACATGTACAGGATCACCCCCGTCACTACATCAGATTTGATAGACCACAAATCCTCGCTAAAGAACACCGATTCCTTCCAAGGATGATTCGCGAGGCTATTGAAATCAAAAAACATCCTAATTTCAATAGAGAAGATGGCTGGGTGCTACCATCTGCTTGGGATCCTATAATAAATAAAATTAAATCCCAACCCAAGCATACAACTGCAAGACTCCATGATACCATAAGTTCATACTGTGTAGATCGGAACAAAAGTTAAATTTTAATCTATGGTAACCGCGGTTAACTATGACAGCTGGACGTTGAACATCTCAGTCCTTCCCGTGACCATGGGTGCTGTAAAGCTCTCGAAACGTCGGGTAAAAAAGTTAAATATACGCGATAAATTCCGTAAAAATTAGTATTATTTCAATGCGCTTTCCTTCCCCTGGAATGACCTGCAGATAGTTGAAGATGCTGGTGGCTCATGATCTTTATTTGTGGTATGCTTTGGGGAGGTCTATGTTCAACAGTTGACTTTGTGATAGGTTGTAACGATGATGGTGATGATGATTCTATCTTAGTCAGCACACTTTAGCTTTCTTTTCGTAAAGTAGACTGCAGGTATTCATAGACTATAATGGCCACTTACCATCACTTATCATCATAAAAACCATTAAAGAACTCTAAAACTTTCTTAGTACATCAATGAATTCATAAATTAAATATAGCTTGAACTTTACATTTTTCGCCGTAGCAATTTAAATTTTAATATCCATTATTATGATCTCTCATCGGTGGCTTTATTGCAAATTCACTCTCAAATTTTATATATCTGCTACTTCATAAAATTTAAAGTAACTGCACATTTATTGTTTAAATTTTATTAATATTTTATACGGGTTCCTTCATAATGGTAATGTTGCTTCACATCACCCACTTAGGAGATATGTGTTTGATTATTTTTTATAGAAGAGGAAGCAAACGAGTATGCGTCTCACCGGACTGTTAATGTTAATCGCCGCCCATGAACAACTAGGAGTATGGTCTGCAGGTGTTTCGAAAGGATATTCTTAAAATTTATCAATTTCCTTAATTTTACCCGACGTTTCGGCTGCTTTCCAGCTCCCATGTTCACGGGGGACTGAGATGATTGACATCCCAGTATCAGAGTTAACCCGGAGTACCTTCAGATTTTTAATTATTATTGTTACAAGCATAGGGTTCGTGACAATAAAAACTGCCTAAAAAGCTTAGTTCTTCTATTTGATACTAGATGGCGTTGGTGGGAGAGTTCTAGAAAGATCTTGACACTCCTATTTCTGCTACTTGATACGAGATGACGCTAATAATCACTCGCCTTATATCGGCTTAATTGTGGTGCGTAACATTAAGTTTGGTCTACGCAGAACGACCTTACTTTGTCTTGATGTCTTGCAGTGATATGCTTAAGTTTAGTTTTAATTTTACTAATTAAAGGATCCCAAGCAGGTGGTAGTACCCAGCCTTTTTCTCTATTGAAATTGGGATATTTTTAATTTCAATAGCCTCACGTTTTATCATTGGCAGGAATCGATGTTCTTAAGAGTGGATTTGTGATATATCAAATCTGATTTAATGGCGGGCCGTCTAGGATATGATCACAAACTGCAGGCTTCCCGGAACGTTGATGCTTCACGTCAGCTATATGTTCTTTAACGCGGGTTTTAATAGATCTTTTTGTTTGCCCTATGTATGAGAGACCACATTCACAGTCAAGCTTGTACACTCCTGCATCCTGTAGAGGAATATGATACTTGACAAATGGTAAGAACTGACTAATCTTATTCGGCGGCTTGTAGAACGTTATAATAGAAGCTCGCTTCAAGATGTAGCTAATCTTGTCTGTGACACCTCCGACATATGGTAGCACAACAGGCACACGCTGGACTGTGGCTGGCTTACTCGGTCATTGTGGCGTAGGCGCGGGATCCGAAGCTTCTTGTCGTGCAGAACCTGCTTGACGTGTTGAAGCTCAGTGGCCAAGTGTTTGCTGTCACAGGTCCCTCGTGCTCTCTGTAATGAATATTTTCCCACGACTAGCTGTGAAGCTAGCTGTGAAGGGTACTCGCAGCTTCATTGACTCTTATCTTCCTGCTCCGCACTTTTTGCATAGCCTCATTTAAAGCCGTGTCAGACCAAGAAGCCGCCAAGGTTTTTCTTTGATAATTACACGGTTCAATTAAATTTTAATTTTTAACTTCACAGATGAAGTTAAAAATAAAATTCAATTTTATAAATTATTATTTATTTATTTATTCTTTATTTGCACACCGAGTACAAAAAAGCGGACTTAATGCAACAAGGCATTCTCTGCCAGTCTACCCCCAGGCTAAGCAGAGAAGATATTGTGGGTGCAAAGTGCAACTGAGTTAAAATATCTTTAAGTAGACATATACATTATATATTGCATTACATGTTATAAACATAATTATACACATACAAGATATATAAAAATATTCATATATATGCTTAATTATGCCCTAATATGCTATATATATATATATATATATATATATATATATATATATATATATATATAGTACATACAAAATTAAAATTAACTGTCTCTGATTCAAATACCTATAAAATATTTGAAATAAAAACAGGAAAAGGGATCAGTTAGAATTTAAGGATATAAAAAAATGTTAATCGACAAACTACTCCTGCAACGCCAGAAAAAGATTCCACAGCAAGCGTTTGAACGACGCCTTGCTCATGGTTGCACGTACACTGCTCGGTAGCTCGTTCCACAATCTTACCGCGTGAGACGTAAAAGATTTACACAAGAAGCTAGTGTGACAGAGGGGGACATGGAGATTAGACTTTTCCGCAGAACGGGGACAACGATTATGTGAATCACGCTGATACTGAAATTCAGGGACAAACGGATCGTGTAAAACTGAAAATAATGTGCACAGTATTCTGAAATATCTGCGATAGCGGAAAGGTAGCCATTTAAGCTGAGAACGATAAGATGTGATCTTGGTGATGGAGCGTATTGCACTATAGTGAACGGAGCGTTTTGTAAGTTTATGATTACAAAACGCCCCAATAATATAATGGACGCCATTGAAGGTCATTCACTGCAAGCGGTTCGTCAAATAATAGGTAATTTAAAGCTAAACAACCACTGTCCAAAGTAGATAAATTTGTATGATACTCACCGCAAAATTTTTTAAAGCACTTAGTAAAGATTTTGATTTATTTTCTAAATAAATCGCAATTAGCACTCTAACTGGCAGCCATTGACGGACGACTGGCGAAGGCCGCGCATGCCGCTACTTGTTTCATATCTGTATCGTCATAATTATAAAATTTTATGCAATGTATATGTAATATGTATATATTTATTTTTGGAATAGCCATATTATACGAGTACTGTTACAGCCTGACAAAAGTCCACTGCTGAACACAGGCCTCCCTGATAGTTTACCTCGTAGTTATTGGGTAATAAAATTCAGTATTTTTAAGACAAGTCAGTCAGTATTTTTAAGACTCTGCCGCCTATCTCCTGGTTTGTTTCCCACTGTTTTCTCTTACGACAACCACGGGACGATTGGGGTAGTGCATAGGAAAACAGAAAAACATAGAATTGCATTGTGGGCGGGGCACGCATGCCACTGATTTGCCCGAACGGTCATATAAATCCCGAAACACGTGATCGCGCTCATAAGTCACTCACGAACGCTCTCACCGTGCGCAAGTGAAACGCGGCGACTAATTTTGACGAAAAATGCCTATTTGTGCTGTTATTAGTTGTAAAGAGGAGTGAAGTGTCGAGTGTAGCCAAAGGAAGAATTTCCTTTCATCGGTAAGTAAAAAAACTTCTCAAATTTACAGTTTTTAAGTCAAAATCTGTAAATTGTTATTAAAATTCTAAAAATATACATTGCTGGCAAAGTACGCATAGCATTTTTATAGTGTCTTTTAAGCACGCAATGTAAAGGTGACACATGATTCTAGTGAAAAGACACGCACTCTGTAGCAATTTATCGATAAGTTTCAATTTATTTTGGGTAGTAATCTTCATTATCTTTTCTTATAAAAATAATTATTAATGACATTGATCATTACGCTAAGCATTTTATCGATATATTTATAGATTCGGATTCTTAGGTAAAATGGAAAGCTGGAAAGAAGCGTCTTTTTTATTTCGCGCGGCCATCAACCAAACCTTTTATTTGGGAATTTTGGATTAAGAAAAGACTAAAGTATATACATATAAGGCATTTTGTTTCCTATAACATTTCAGTTTTCCTAAAAAGCCAGATATACGGAAAAAGTGGATCGAAATTACCGGTGGTAAAGACTGGATTCCGACTAAATCAAGTACCATTTGTTCACAACATTTTAATGAAGATGACTTCGAGGTCAAAAATTCTAAGAAGAGATATTTAAAAAACGGTGCAGTACCACATGTACAAGTTGTGTACATTGTATGTTTATACTATTTTATAAAGTTATATTTTATTCATAACTGGAAATATGTTCATATATTGTTGACAATATTTTTTAGGTTAAGATACCAAAGATTCTACTTTGTCACCACGAAAACGTACTCAGAAGAACATAGGCAATGAAATAATAAACAAACGTGCTGAAGTTCAGGTTAGTTATAGATGGTACCTAACTAACACATTATTTTGCTGAGTTTCACTTTTATTGCTGTTACCAATCAACAAACTTCGTTTATCTTTCGTAGTTAAACTATTATTTTAGCTTAACATACAGCACTGTAGATCTTATTATCTTGTTTTATTTTAGGAAATTGTAGATCCAATACTGAAAACTTCTTCAATGGTAACAGTAATGGAAGAGAGTGGTAGTCAAACAATAAGGGATGTAGATCCAGTACCGTTAAATTCTTCAACAGTATTAATGGAAGAGAGTGTTAATCAACCAATTAAGGATATGGATCCAGTACCGACTAATTCTTCAGTATTAATGGAGGAGTGTTCTAGTATAGCAATACAGGTAACAACGGACTATGTAAAACAATTTCATTCCAGTTCCTTCCTTCATTGACTCCAATGCGTCAACGCCGAGAAAAAGAAGATTACACGAATAATATCTTCAAAAGAAAATATCAAAAAACACCAAAGAAATTATTAATAAGCGATTAAAGAAAAATAGATAAAATGGCAGATATAATAAATGACTTAGAAAAAAGTTTTCACTGAAAGAAGAACAGTTAAGTGCATTGAGAGGCACAAATTTACAGGTAAAAGGTTACTCCGAAATTTTTATTACGAATTTTTATTATTATTTAATATTTTGTATGTATGTTACGGGATTCCTTCGGTTTTTACATCTCAATATATTTTTTGAATGAATTTGGTAAACAATTTTTATTTTATTTTATAGGTGGAAGAATTGATCGGTCGATCAAAAGATGGTAAATGGTAAGGATGGTGTTAATGAAGTGTAAGGGAAGTGAAAATATTATTATGTTAGGAGATTTTAATGGAAGGGTTGGGGTGAGGAGGCTTGGTTATGAAAGGATATTGGGAACGTTTGGTGATGAAAGTATAAATGAGAATGGTGAAAGTCACCTCACCGTATGTATGGAAAAGAATATTTTTGTGACGAACACTTGCTTTCGCCACAAGAGGATTCACATGTATATTTGGGAATGAGGTGACGATAGAAGCATGATAGATTTCATAATTGTGGATGAAAGATTGAAGAGCGCAGTGGTAGATACAAGCGTTTACCGGGGTTCTAACGTAGGAACGGATCATTATTTGGTTTTATGCCGAATTAATGGTCTATTCAGGCGTTGTCGCCATCGATCATCTGTGTCTACCACTGCGTTACAGCGTATTAGAACAGAAAGGTTACAAGATGAAGGTGAGAAAAACAAGTTCAAATGTAGACTGAAAGAAAATATAAGTGGTTTGTATGAATTATGTATGAAGGAGTTAGACTTTGAGAATGTATGGCAAAATGTAAAGAAAGGTTTAGTGGATGCAGCTACCGAAGTACGTGGTTTTAGTAAGAGAAAGAATGAAAGGAAAAATAATACGTTATGGTGGGATGATGAGATACGTATGGAAGTTGAAGCAAAGAAGAGAGCATGGCTAGATTTACTAGCAACAAAGGCTGGTAATTCTAGCGGTACGAACGATGATATTGAAAGAAAAAAGGCAGTCTTTAGACATCTAAATAAGAGAGTAAAAGAAGTAGTTGAAAGAAAAAAGCAAGAAAGAACGGATAAGAATGATAGAAGAATATCGGATAACTTCCAGGAAAATAATAAAATGTTCTGGAAACTTGTAAGAACTGCCAGTGGACATTCAAAACAGCCTATGATGAATGCTATAAGAGACGAGAATGGCTATATTCTGAATGATGAAGTTTTAAGTTTGAAGAGATGGAAGGAATATTTTGAAAGCGTGTTTATGAGTGAGGAGACAACGTGTGTACTAAGTGAATTAGAAACTCCGAAAGAAGAGGAAAGAGGTACCGAGATAAGTATAGATGAAATAATGAAACCAATGAAAAGCATGAAAACAAGTAAGGCTGCCGGATATGACAGAGTTTCACTCGAAATGCTAAGGGCTGGAGAGGAAGTGGTGGCAGGCCTGCTGCACACTTGTTTAATTTATGCTGGGAACTGAAGCGGGTAACGGTAGACTAATGCAAAGCCGTGATAGTCCCAGTATATAAAGAAAAGGGTCGCAGCAGGACTGTTAAAACTACCGTGGCATCAGCCTTCTTAGTATTGTGGGAAAGCTGGTACTGATTGAAAGGGTCATGAAAGAAACTGATAGAAAAATTTGGGATGTGCAAGCGGAATTTAGAAAGGGAATGGGATGTACAGACCAAGTCTTTTCCATGCGCATGATCGCGGAGAAGTTTTTGGCCAAAACCCGAAGGTTTTTTGTGCGTCCATGGACTTGAAAAGGGCCTATGACAGAGTGGATAGGGATGTGCTGTGGCAAACACTGAACTCATTTGGGTGCATTGAGCGCTGGCGTGATACAGGCATTGGAGTCTCTTTATAGGGACTCTAGTGCTTGTGTTAGGATCAACGGGGTCTACTCGGACTGGTTTTACATCCATAAAGGTGTCAGACAGGGCTGTGTGGCTTCCCCGTGGCTGTTCAACCTATTTATGGACAGTTGTTTGCAAAATTTGAAAGTTGAAGAATGCGGATTAAGAATGGGCGAGTTAACCGTCAAATGCCTTTTGTACGCCGATGATCAAGTTATTCTTGCGTCGTCCGCGGCCGAGTTGCAAATGATGGTTACATTAATGAACAGATAATTAAAAGGAAGGGGTATGAAAGTAAACGCAAGTAAGACGAAGGTTATGGTTTTTCAAAGAGAAGAAAGTAAAACGATTTGTGAAATAAGAATAGAAGGTTAGTTGATCGAGCAAGTAGATGAGTTTGTATATTTGGGCTGCGTATTTAGCAGGGATGGGAGATATGATAAGGATATAGAACAACGAGTTAATGCGGGAAATAGAGTAAATGGGGCCCTGCACTCTATTGTGAAGAGTCAAAATGTGTCAAAAAAGGCACGTATGGCAATTCACAATGCTGTGTTGGTCCCTACTTTAACGTATGGTAGTGAAAGTTGGGTGTGGCATAAGAAGCACGAAAGTAGAATTAACGCAGTAGAAATGCGGTCCTTAAGGAGTATGTTAGGGCTGAATCTGAACGACAGAGTAAGAAATTGTGTAATAAGAGAAGAGTGTGGTTTGTAAGATGATGTTGTGACCTGGATTAAGAAAGGAATGCTTCGGTGGTTTGGTCATGTGGAAAGAATTAATGAGGAAAGAGAGACAAAGAAAATTTATGTTGCAGAAGTGAATGGCAGAGTCGGAAAGGGACGTCCTAGGCGAAAATTTATCGACTAAATTGGCGATTTATTGAAAACGGGCCAAATAAGGAGTACCCTTAACCGACGAGCATGTATGCGTAGGTGTGGATGTGAAGGACTCGAGAGAGGTGTGTCAGAATCGTGCCAAATGGAAATCTGTAGTCTCTGCCTACCTCTCTGGGTGACATGCGTGAGTGTTTATGTTATGTATGTATGTATATCAAAAGAAAAGTCCGGTAGAATTACAAAACAGCGTTATTCCCCAGCTCTCCGAACATTTGCACTTACCTTACATTACTATTCGCCCAAAGCGTATAATTACGTAAGAGATACCTTTAAAACATGCTTGCCTCATGTACGTACTTTACAAAAATGTGTACACAAGTGTAAAAGGAGAACCAGGCTTCACGGATGAATGCTTCAAAGCCCTTAAGGAAAAGTCAAATTCAATAAAATATCCAATCATAGCTGTTCTAATGATAGATGAAATAGCAATGAGACGTCGTATAGAATGCGACGGAGTAAAACTGCACGGGCATGTTGAGATCGGTAGCGGAATAAAAGGTGACCATATAACGGAAGCAAAGGAGGCATTAGTTTTTTTAGTGACTAGCATTAACTATAATTTTAAGGTGCCTATGGGTTATTTCTTGATTGACGGAATGACTGGAGTTCAACGAGCTGAACTAGTAAAACAATGTCTGGAAAAGATACATGAAACTGGAGTAAAAATTGTTTCTCTAACTTTTGATGGCTGTGCCTCTAACATAGCTATTTTGAAACACCTGGGATGTAACTTTGAAGAGGGAAGAATGAAATTTGAAGATTCGGTCACAAAATATCCAATTATGGCACTTTTAGATCCATATCACATGGTTAAGCTAATACGCAAAGCATTTCAGGTTTGCTATGACTTATGTAATTAATTTTAACTAATTTTTGCTCACGACGTGATTTGCGTGGAAATATTGATATATGTCTTCTTCTTCTCCCTGTCCTTATACCAATTCAATAAGGATCTGCGCAACACGATTTATCTCTTTAGATTGGAGACACATATTGCATCAGGATCAGGCAATGGTTTTTACGGTTTTTTAAATTGTGACGTTTTACGAAAATTGATTTCAGTTTTCGGCAAGTTGTCATACACCTGTGTTAATTGATAATATTACAGGTCTACCAAGTGTATGTTGACGAGAATGGCAATAAAATAAAGTGGTCCTAGCTTGAGGAACTAAACAAGCTCCAAGAAAAGGAAAATTTTCATTTGGCGAACAAGTAGAGATATCGGCATATACACTATCACAATCAAAAGATGAAAGTTAAACTTGCCACCCAATTATTTAGTTTAAGCGTATGTGATGCCATAGATTTTTGCAGAGAAGAACTAAATTTACCAATTTTTCGTGAAAGTTTACCAACAACAGTTTTCTTAAAAACAATTAATAATTTTTTTGATATACTTAATTCAAAAAGCATGACACAACACGGTTATAAATACCTATTAATGAAAATAATGCTAAAGACATTTCAGAATATGTAAAGTAAAGTTGCTGGCTATATATCTAATTTAAAGTGTGACAATGGCCCACTTTTGATTGAAAGCCAAAGGAAAGTAGGTTTCAAAGGATTTATCGGCTGCGCTGTAGCTGTCAGACACTTTTATGAGACTTGTTCAAACTGGAGAATTGGTCTTTTTTCCTTTTTATAAAACAAGCCAGGATCATCTGGAATTACTTTTTGGCAATATTAGATCTCATGGTGGATCTAGTAACAATCCGACAGCCAGGCAGTTTAAAGCAGCATATAAAAAACTATTAGTTCACATAGAACTCAAGGATTTCGGCAGTGGCAACTGTAATTCGCTTGAACAGTTATCTATTTTAACCTGCTCAGCTGTTGACCGGATTAATTTGACCACGTCGTCAACAGAAAAAGCTTGCGACGACGAATCAGAAAATGAATTCCTAGAAGAAATGCTGGATCATTATTATTTGACAGATTTCAGTATGCAAGTTATAGGTAATTTTTTTCACACATCATTTTTCAAGTTTTGATCGTAAATCTTACCCTTTGCATATTACAAAAGCTTGTAAAAAAATAAGTCTCGCAACTCAGTTCTTCTACCGTAAAAAACTGTGAGATCCATGTAAAACCAAGTCAGTTAAATAAAAAGATTGACTTGGCCATCGCACGAAAACACAATCTATCTAACAAGTAATACATATTATATTAAATTAGATTGTTTAGTGCGATGGCCAAGTCAATATTTTTATTTATCCGACTTCGTATTACATGGATCTCATAACTTTTTACGGTAGAACAACTGAGTTGCGAGACTTGGTTTTCTTACAAGTTTTGTTTTTAAGGGATCTCATTTCCTTTTGTAGATAATTATATCTAGGTACCTATCTACACTTATTATTCCATTATACATATTTCAAACACAGGTACACTAATTCGTTCACTGCAAATGTAACTTTGTAATCCTATATATTTATATTGTATTCCAAAGTTATTTGTGCAGTTGGTGTATCTAGAAAACTGGACCAAAAACGCAACAATTTTTTTTAGTTT